TTTTCAAGATCTGAACAATAATTTATTCTGTACAGTATAAGGTTTTTTTTTTGTTTTTTTTTTAGAACAACGTATCAATTGAAAAAAGGCAAATTAAATTTAGCCTGACCTCAAGTCGGCAAAAATCAAAGCATCGACTGCAGGATTAATGTAAAGAGTGTGACTGGAAATGTTGAGGAAATATGATATCAGTCAGCAGCCATTTGGATTTCAGTGTTGCACTTTCCATCTTCTGTTAAACACTTCCTAGATATTTAAATTTCTGTACCTGCTTGATTTTAGTCTCCCTGACCTGCAATTTGCATTTTGGGCTCCTTTTTTTGCTGATGACCATGCATTGTCTTCTTGTAGTTTATGTTTAATCTTTTCCTCTTGCTCTTCTTTGCTCTCTTCTGTAGGAGGTTTTGTAGTTTCTTTTCCATGTCTGCTATCAGCACTGTGTCAGTTGTGCCTAATAATCTTCAGAGTTGTTGCCAAAATAGTTTGGAGAAATGCTGACCTATATTGTAGATCAGTGAATTTGTAGCCTATGTGCTGGCGAAATTAAACTGAAAATAACTGCAAATACAGGGCATCCAGTGAGGATCAATTTCACTGCAATACCAATTTGCTAACCCTTTCATTCCCAAATGTATGTAGTATAATAACAAGACTTGTTTTGTTTAATTTGCAGGAGTGCCGTGATTATAACTGGTTTGACCGGTTTTCTATTGGCACGGAAATCAATCCAAAACAGCCGCTATGAAGTCATGAAGCGCAGACAGAAAATAAGAGATGCCTGCTTGCAAGATCAACTAAAGGAAGCTTCAAAATCTTGACCTGAACCTTCATCCCTAGGTTTTCTTTTTAAAAAAAAAATAAAAAAGAAAGAACAAATATCTTTCAGCCGTCAAAATGTCATGTGTGAAACGTGGACATTTTTTTCATTGTTTTGTTAGAAATAGAAGATGGATTTCATCAATGAAATCTCACACACTTTTATAATTTCCTCTGATCATGAAGTAATCATGTAATTCCTCTTTGAGTCATTTTCTAGATTCTGGAATTATGTTTTGTTTTGGAGGCATTAAAATTAACAAGCCATTCCTTGTCTCAGTTAACAACAAGATATAGGTCATTTGTTTTACTTATTCTACCTATAACTGGGTGCACTAAAAATATAAAATTTTATGTATATATAAACACAAATGAGAGAAAGAACAGATGGATTAAAATTCCACTGTTCATAGCATTTACTTTAACAAGTGCTCAATACAAAGTAGGCAATATATTAGTTTTATTCATTGCCTGAAGAAGTACAATCAAAGTATTGAAACAAGAAAGTTTTTGTGTAGCAATTTAAACATGTTTTTACTATAATCTCATATATATATATATTATATCATATTATATATATATATAAATTCACACATTGAATGCTGGTGTTAATAAAATAGTGCTCGATGTTATATAACAGAGCTATTAAGTATATATTAATAAATATATTATCCCTCGCCAGTAACACAACACAATCTGCAGGTGCTGGGTAAAGGCTGACTTATATTGCATTGTGCATGAAACTCAGTCATACAATCCTACCAGCAAGGGATAATATGTATGTTTATTAATATATATATATATGCCCACAAACACAATATATGTAAATAAACTGTAAACTTGAATGAAAAAGGTTTTTTTTTATTTTTATAAATAATATATATTGCTTTAATTCTTAGGCAAAGTATTTTAATTGACCTTTTTTTTTTTTTTTTTTTTTTTTTTTCATTTTTGTACAACTTTCTGTTGTTCTTTTATCACAATTTTCTCAGGCTGACCCTCAGCTATGCTATGGGTTGATGAGTTAGTTTTATATTTGGAAAGAAAAATCATTGTTATTCTATCCTGAAAAGAAATTGTTCACTTGCATAAAATATAATTATTCCTATAACCCACAAAGGGTTGCAAAAATAATCTCAAGCTGATGATTCAGTCAGAATGCAACTGTAGCACTTTTTCTCAGTCTCTTACTTAGTAGACAGCTTCACCTAATAATGTGTTTAGAATCTCATTTGTGTTGGGGTCAACAAAACTGGGAAATGCCAAATGTATATATTCAACAAAGATGAAAACACGAATCCTGTTTTCAATATATTGAAAATATATTCTTTATTCATGGATTCACCTACGACTGTGGATAGGTAGGTGACTTCGATGTTACTTCTGTCCTCCTTCACAATAGACCAGTGGTTCCCAACTTTCTTTTCTCTTGGTCACATTTTCAGAATGAAAATTTGTTTGCACCTCAAATTTTATTTGATAAAAAAAATACATTTAAAAATAAAAATAGAGACAGAGTTAAAGGGAGATAACGGCAGATTAGAAGTCAGAAAAATATTGATAACTCTCTTCTCCAATTTGCAAACCCTAGTTACTATGTTTTTAATACTTGATATAATAGAAAAATATCACAGTAATAAAATCGGTCAATAATTATTTATAACTATATATACTGGGATTCATGCATGCAATTACAAGTAATCTATAATAATATTTTAAATTTTGAAATCATATTTATTTTTGGCATATGAATTTTTTGAAACTGTTTCTAAATCTTGGATTGTCTTTCAGTCATTCCGCCTCACCTGTTATCCTCTTTCGCCAAACCTATGAGACGTGTCACACTGTTTGGGAACCACTGCAATAAAGTAACATATCATATCTCTTATTCTGACCATCTATCTTGTCACTGATTGCTCATGACTATACATCTCCACTGGTAGCTTCTTTCCAGGGCCTCTCTGGCCCCCTCTTTATTTTAACACTTTATAAATGTACAACTCTGGCCATCTTGGACAGCTTCACCATATAAGGTTTTTCAATTCTCGTTTGTGCAAGTTCAGCAAATAGAAGGTGAAATATTGCCACAGTGCTAAAAAAAAACAAATCCTTTTTCCAATATATTGGATCTAGTATTTATGGATTCACCTGGTAGGGGGGGGGGTGTCGCAAAAGTGACATTTGTAATATTTTCATTGCTACTTTTGCCTTCTGTCTCACACAGAATCTCTTCAAACAAACAAGAAATATAACAGTTCCTTTTGCCCATCTCGGACTGTGACAATCTTTAAATGTTGACAAACAGCTTGTCACTTTAATTACCTTCACTATGACCCTTATCTCTCTACATCTCCATCAATGGCCTCTTGTGATTCTAGACTTATATAGGCCCACAATCGGATTTCCCTACCTTCCAACTGAGTGGCACTTGATCCAAAAAGTTTTTATTTCTTTATCAACTTGTAGATATCAGGTGGCTTTTTGATGTCCTCATATCTAGATTTTACAGTTAATTTTCTTAAAACATCAGTGATTTAGGCCCAAATTAAATATAAGAATATGTTTAGGATATAAGTAAATTGTAAATTTTACATGCAGATTATTGTCCTTATCTTTGTTGTTATATTTTGGCTGTTGTGCCCTCCAGCCTTATTTTACCGGATTTGAGTTATGTCTTATTTGCACCTTATTTATTTCAATTTCATATGGCTGTCAGAAAGCATTCATTCTAGAAAGTTGTACTAAAAAGCAAGAATAAAATGAAATTACTAACAAAAATAAGTAAATATTTAGGATGTACGTGTATCCAACATTCCTGGTGCTTAGTCCCATCTCCAGTCATTTTCATAAAAATCTAACAGAAGTGATTACATGATAGATTGTCTACAATTATGAAATGCAAATTTTTCATTATTTCACAAATTAAACTGGAATCCACATCTCTGTTTTTAAGTTCTTCTTTTCAGCTGAAGTGAAAAGAAAGTAAAGAAAAATGTAAAGAAACACGGTCACTCATTTCAGTTTCTTGTTTGCCCTGGCTGTCCTTAAAAACACTGTTAAGAACACCTTTCTCTCGATTGCTGGTGTCAATCTCGTTCGCTCTTTTATTTTCTCCCAAAGTACTCGATCTGGGTGTTTAGATTAAATTCACATATGCATATGCAAATCGCATCACTCTCTCTGCCTGGTCTATTATGCGTTCATTTTACTTGGATAAATCAACCTCAACTGATTAATGCGAGAGTCAGGTTCAAATTGCACCGCATTCTGCTTATGGCCACAAACAATGCATGTTGACACATAAATTCTTTTCATGGCAGATGACCGATGCCTTATCTTGGCAACTCCTTTGTTGCATCAGCCAACAAATTTTCTAGAGAAATCAGCCAGAAAACACATCAGAACTGTGGATATCCATTTGACTGGCCTAAATAAATTTCAACCTTTCACCAACATTTAGAAAAGCCACTCACATCTGGCTCCTTTCACATAACCAAACTGGCAGCAAAATCTATTGTCAGTTGATTCTAATTTTTTGAATGTTATGTTTTAATTCCATTTGCATCAGCACTATCCTTATATTGAAAGTAAAATGATATGGACTGACCAAAACTAAACTGGTTCCATGATGTTGAATTAATGTGGTACATGGGTCTTATAGTCAAAGTGTAAGATTATTTGGTAATTTATCTTCTTTATAACATAAGACAGAGTGGTATAATACTAATCATAATTGGGGGATAAAACCCTAATTTGGATGCTTTTTTTTTTTTAATTTTTTTTTTTTGTCATTCCATAGAAAGTAGAACTGAATTCTGGGAGAAGAGGGTTCTTGCCTGTCTCTAAAGTATTAGTGTAAAATAAATGAACAGCTGAAAATCAAACTTAACTATCATGCCCCACTTTACCATGATTGATTTTTTTTTTTTAAACTTATCAACCTTTTGCAAGTTATTTAAAGCCAGAGAATTTTTTTAGATTGTAAGAATATATTGGAAATAATGATTTACTGATACACGTCCTACTAGTTAACCCATAGCTTGTGAGGGGAAAGAAGTGGATTCATACCTTTCTAAACGGTATTTGTGCATAAGTGAATATAACGGACCTGACTGGAATTGGAACTCAGTTCTCTGATTCCCAATTTCTGAACTGTTATCCACTACACCACTTACACATCTAAGCTTGCAGCACCTGGTATTCCCAAGCGGTCACCCATCTAGGCACTGACAAGGCTCAATGTTGCTTAACTTCAGACTTCACAATGATAACTAGTGTTTTGCAGGCCATTTGGGATAACATGTCACCTGTATATTAAATGTATATATCTAGCATTTCATATTTAAGGAAATGATAATAAAGTAGTAGGATTCCTGAAAAGATTGGCACCATAATCTTTCCTTGAGACTTCACATATTTATCTTCTCTTTTCAAAAAGAGTCTACAAAGTTTTTGTTTTTTTTCTATCACCATCTGCCATCTTGACACATTCTCTTTCATTTTCTAGGGACATCAAGGGCGGTCATCTCCCTTTGATTAAGATGACGTGAGTTGGTATTTAGCATGCATTGAGACAAGACATGTCTGCCGACACCAGCGGTTGACGATAGACCATTAAGATGCTGTGGGCAGGTTTTGAACTCACAACTCTTTGCAGTCTAAGAGAAGGAAATTTCTGAATTTCAAACCGTAGAGAAGGCAACGGGAAATCACTCCACTCTCTTTCTCAAGAAATCATGACAATTCTCAAATAATAATAATAGTAATACTCTGAGTAATCCAACTGGGCCTGTGGATAAAAGCATTGGATGAAGTAATCCAAAAAGTAACTTTACCCAAAGAGTTGTGTGTTCAATATATGGCCACAGCAGAGGGAACAAAAACTTGGAAAGTTGAGTTACTAAAGGGAACTAACTGATACTGAGATATCCAAAAGTGGCATGGCACGTGGAATTAGAACAATCTACTCCCATGGACTAAATAGTTCAGTTTGAAATTCCAACATATATCTCCTGAAGAAGGCCAGGGTGTACATTGACTGAAATAACATGAATATGGCAATAAAGATGTAAATAGTTAGAATACCTCATCTCAGAAATATAGACAGAAAATCAATGAAACATGTTTAAAAGAAAAGGTTGCTCATCAAATATACATTAATAGATATATATAGTTAATACAAATATAAAGATTGTCACTTAGCTGTTTGATGTTATCTTCATCATACTAACCCTAGAGTTTTGTACATGGCCCCCATCAGCAATCACTCCATCCATTTGTCATCGTTTATATTTTTTCTTTTATATATACACTTTTCATTGGTGCAAAATTGATCTTTTTTAAAGTGTGTTCATGCGCGCCCATGTAAAATGTAGTTACTTCTTTTTGTTGTTTTTCTTGTCACTTTATATTATATGCTCTCAATATAGGGGTTTTTTGGGTTTTTTTTTTTTTTTGACTTTTTCTCTTTCAGTTGTAGCAATTTTGACATTTAGTTTTTCAGACATTTACTGTTCTTGTTAACTCTTGAGCATTCTAGTGTTTTCTTGAGTTTGGAAAATTGTATTTCATTTTTAATATAAATAATTTTTATTTTGTTAATCCTTAAATGACAAGGTAAATATTTACATATGTCTTCATTTGGCCATTATTTCGTTTTTCTTATTTGATTTGGTGGTATCTTAAGTATTAGGGTGTTAACTATAGGAGGTTAGGTTTATAATTAAATTTTTACTTATTGCTGTTTGAATTTGTATGCTTATGTATACATTCATGCAAACCCACATATATACATAACGTGTATCTGTGCTTTGTTATTTATATATTAATTAGTGCTTAAATGGTAAAGTGATTTTTTTTTCAAATGCTAGGGTGTTATAGGTGGTTAGGTTTCTAGAATATTTTCTTTGTTCTTTGGATATATATATATAATAGCTGGCCACTTGTATTCAAGGATACCTATCTAGCAGGGTGGCTAAACAATCCCTATTGCAGATGCTCAGTCAGGCACATTTGAGTTTGCTTAACAGCCACAGAGTCCACCAGTGGTTTACACTGCAACTATGCTGAGCAGACCTTAGTTAAAGTTTCTGGGAGAGAGCATGTTATCTAGCATGATCAACAATTTGAACAAGGCCAACATGCTCAAGTCCTCGGCCATGATGAGTTGTGACTTCATGCTAGCACAGCTATTGATGACCCCAAGGATTCTGTCTACCCAGTTTCACTCACAAGGCTTGGGTCAACCTATGATATGGTTTTCAGGCACTTTCCAAAAGGTGCTGCATGCTGGGATCAACCCCTCCAGTCTAATAACATCAGGAAGTCCTGACAAATCAACCCTGGTGAGAGTCAAACCTGGGTCTCATGGTCAGAAAGCGAACATTCTAGCCACTCAGCCATACGCCCATATATATATATATATATATATATATATATATATATGCATGCATGCACACATTTTTAGTGTTTAGTAAATTAAATATTTGTGTTTATGTTATTTATCTAATGTTTCATTTTTGTTTAGTAACCAGTTTTTTTTTTGTTTTTTTTTTTCTTGTTATCTTAAATATTGAGATATTAATTATGGAAGGTTAAGTTTGTTGTGTGCAAGTGTGTGTACATATATGTACACATTTAATATTTTTTCATTTATTTTATTTTTATTTTGTTTTATTTATGTTTATAATCTATTTATATTTTCCATTTAAATTTTATTTTATGTTTATACTATATTTATTTATTATTTTATATTTATTTTTCATTTGTGCTTAGATGGCAAAGTAGGTATTTATTTATATGCCTACACTTACTCATTATTTGAATTGTCTTGTTTAAGAATTTATTTTGATTTCTAAAACTAATTATTTCTTGAAAAATACTTTACAGTTTTTTTTTGTTAATACTATAACAGGCTGCCCTTTTTTTATAATTTCCCATTTTATTTTGGTGGGAATATTGTTTTATTTTTGGGTCCGTATGTATTTTGACAGGGTTGCATTGTTTGTGTGTTTTTTTTTTTTTTTCTCTCTCAAAGGACGTTTTGTAGCTGTAATATCTTTCTTTTAGGTTTTTTTCTGTAGCACCTATATAAATTTTTTCATCTGTCTTAATGTTATTAGTTATAGTAGTTTTGTATATCATGTTATTGGTTAAATATTTATTAAGTGGACAATTTTCTTTGTTTCTACAATTACATTATTTTGCTGGATGTTATTGTTGTAATTCATTTTGTTGAGTATTTTTTTTATTGTGCTTAGCTATTATTTTCTCCATGTTATCCCTGCAGTTGTCACTTATTTTATTTTTATTTTTATTGATAATTTTCCTTTTTTTTAGGGAAGTGTTTGTCAATTTGTTTGAAGAATATTTGGCATATTTTTTTTTTTTTTATTATATGGTGGATGGATGGTTTCATGGATAACCAAATTATATTTTGTTTTCTATTGTTTGTGTTTGGATTGTTTTTGTATTCTAGTTTGTTTGAATATCCACTGTTTCTTACGGATGATTCGTATATTTTTTATTTTCATTGAATATCTGTGTGCATATAGGTATGTATGCTATGTTTGGCAACTAAACCAACACCCTTATTTCAGTTTCTTGCGTGTGAGGCAGATTGTTATTAACTCTGTCAATGGCTATCTAACTAGAGGTGGTGTCTCAATAAAATAACCATGGAGAAGGCAACAGGAAACCACTACACTATCAATCCCAAGGAAACTCATGGCATTTAACAATCAAATTATGAAAGGAAATTGTGGAGAGCTTTGATTGCCAACATTCTGAAGGGACCTGCCACATAGCAGAAGACTGTCTCACTTCATGCCTTTCCACTCTGCTCGTTGTATTTTTATGTTACAGTTTCTAGATGTGGGAGAAATTAGTGAGTATTTACATATTAGTATATAAGTATAGAATTTCTCATATAGCATAGCACTATATAAAAATCTCTTTGAAAATAATGCATGTTTATCCTTCCTTCCTTTCTTTCAGCTATTCTGTACTGTCTATCTATTAAGGTGTCATTATATCCTGAATATAATAATGCCTAGAATGTGGAAATGTAAACTGGAAATATTCTTTCTTGCTTAGCTCTTTTTTTAGTATCACCCATATTTTGAAATCTTTCTTTCAATAAGAGTTTTAATTTTGGGAAAAATCTTTATCACACAGCTAAATCTGGACTGTAAATTTGGCTATATATTTAGGATGGGGGTGGAAATAAAAAAAAATAAAAGAAAGAAAAACATCACATGATATTAAGAATGAGCACACTATCACTATATATGTTGTGGTCACAGCATTCAAGTTTAACTCAGTGGATGTTTTTTTTTTTTTTTTTTTTCACTGCTAACTGACTAACCTCGCCTAAAAAGTTTTTTCACACAGCCACTGTGTGGTCTCCCTCTCTTTGCCAAGTCACAGCAAAGAATAAGATATTCAAAATGGCGATAATTTCCAAAAAGACTTTGTATACAAGTAACTGGCAAAAAGGAGAAATTTGGGTCTTAAACTAGAATTTACCAGCTATAACTACTCAAAAGATTTTATGTATAATAAATAAATGTAGTTTTATTTTTAAACACAATTTCAAAATGAATTCTCACCAAGGACATTTTTTTAGCACTTTAATCCCATAACTGGAGTTAAGGCAAGGCTATTGAAGCAATTTCAGCCAAGACTAGTGCAAGGGCTTCGACTCCCCATCTTCCATATCTATGATACAAAGGCCTCTACTCTACTGTATCTCAATTTTAATAAGTTAGTATTAATCTAAATTTTAAATTTTATTGTAACTTAATTATGTACAACAATGGATCATATACAAAATAGGTGGACAATTCAACTAGAAAAAATGAAAATAAATATAATGTATTGAAATGCAAATTAGAGACATGTCATCATAGATCATTTCATCTTAAATCACCAATGTTACATGTCAATTTTTAACATGAACCTTTTTTCTTGTTAAATGTTGAATAATTTAATACATTCAACATTATGCATAAAAAAAATAGTGAATTTTAAATGGTGTTTTTTTGAGACCTAGTATCAGCAAAATAAATTCACGGATTTGGACAAAAGAAAAAGACTCAAAATCCATAAAAATTTGCCATCCTTTAATAGTCAGTCGAGTTTAGTTTAATTTGTAATGTATATAAATCTAAGTAGAAAAAATAAATTATTAATAAGTTAGTGAGGGTCACAAAGAATTCCAATAAGACTTAGAGTCTCTCTGATTTCAGCTATGACACACAACTTAATCTTTCAACAGGAATCAACA